TTCATAATCACTATTAGACTCTTTCCAAATCCTCTCCTGTCCTTAGATTGACCCCCCCCAAACACTCTGAAATGTTCATATTGGAGTTTCTGGCATGAATGCCAAGCAGTACAGCATGCAATTTCCAAATTTCTGGCAGAGTAAACTGCGTCATGGTGCTCTTTTTCTCACAGGTTGTGTCCAAATAACTATACTGTACATTGCAATTGACAAAATCAAAAACAAACGTGCATGTGCAAAATAAAAAATATAAAATGGCAACAGTTTATTCATTGCACTCTGCATATGACAAATTGAAAAAATTAAACATGTGCACGAATGAGGAATGCTGGGAATTTTAAATTCATTTTTTTTTTTTTCAGCCAATTTCATTTAGACTCTTTTTCTTTCCATCACTTTTGTTATTCAATATTCCACACTGTGATAAGAGAAGTTTGGTTAGGAATGGTAAAATGTTATAAAAGCCAGGGTGCAAATTAATCAAACACCTAAGAAATTGCTTCAGTGATCACAATATTTAAAAGCAAATTTTGGTTGTGAAGATACCGACAAATCAATGTAAATTCTACATTAAAAGCCAACTGTACCATGTGAGACGATGATCTGGATTAACTTTCATGATTGAAACTGGCAAGAGGCTCAAAGTTGTTTGCACGTGGTGAAGTAAGCACCAAGAGTTACATCCTCTTCCACAACTGGCTGTTGAGAGAGGATATTCTATTTACAGTAGGTGTGGCCCTGACAAAATTTGCATATGAACGATACCAGGCAGGTATTAAGCCAATAGTCAGCGTGGGTCTGGGACTGGAAGAGATATTAACACCAGTTTTTTCTCAGTCAAGTAGAGCACTCCTCAACATGTGGATGTGTGGAAAACCAGACAAGAGAAACACATTGAATTCACAATATGCCTGCTCATTTACTTTTTCTTTGTCTACAATTTTTCTTTTTAAATCTAATTATTCAAATTGGTCTTTTTCACAAGCCAAAAAATCAAATCAAGTTACCCCCATTACTATGTAGACAATGAGGGTACCTTCATGATATTACTTAGGTCAATAGAGATTACTTGGCAGTAGCCATGTCCTCTCCAAACATAATCTGACAGGTTGCACTGGGTTACATAATGCCAGAGGTGGTTTGGTTTGGTTTACGGCATATCAACCACAATGGGTTATTTAATGCTGACAAAATTTCCTCTTTTTTTTCCTCCCCCCCCCAAATGTATAGCTGGTAATATTTAAAAAAAAAAAAAATGTATAGTTTGGTTTGTGGCATATTAATGTCCATGGGTTATTTAATGCTGACAAGATTTTTTATTTCTGGTAATATTTTCTTTTTTCAAATATTTATTGCTGATATTAATTTTTTTTAAAAAGTATTTCTGGTATTAAAATTTATTTTTTACACTTTCATAATGTTTTGAGTCAGGTTGTGGGGGCCAACTATTTACCCATAGCTGGGACCCTAACTGGTGCTATCACCCTGGGTCAGGTGAATTAAGAGGTGGTTCCACGCTCCTCAAAACCTCCTGATCAGAGGCCTTGCTGTTGGACGTAGTTTATCGTCTTACCCAGGACGCGGATGCAGTTTGTCATACCCATTATGAGAGACAGGGTGTAATCTCTGACCTGAGCTAAAAGATTCATATCTTTCCCAAACACATTTAAAATCAATAGTTCATCCAAGTATTAATGTCTCTCATGATGTTACTCAAGATAAGGGAGATTACTTGGCAGTACCCTGTCATGCAATAGTTTGTACTGGGTTACACAGTACCAGAGTGTAATCATTGAGCTGCCCTAACCTATAGGATGAGCTAGATTCATGCCTTTGCTACCACAGTTAAAAAAAAAAAAAATTATCCCATAACTAAGTATCTCATAGGAGTACCAAGGTTGGTTCCATTGTGACATTACTCCAGGCAATTGGGGGTTACTTGGCAGTACTGACCACCTCTCCAACTAATACTCAACAGGTTTTGACATAACATCAACCAAGAGTTATGCCTAATCTGACCTATTGGTAGAGAGAGTTCTATGCCTTTATCAAAGAATAAAGTCTTTCATTTTCCTCAATGATGAATCCTTTTACCAAGATGCCATGAGAAATGAATTACAAATTATTTGGTATATATATATATATATATATATATATATAAAGAAATATAGTCTTAAGGTCTGCTATATTCATGGGATAAAGTGCTCGATATCAGAGAGAGCGTGTGTAAATATACAAGTGAACATAGAAGTCAACACTTAGAGGTGACAGTCTGTTTCATGCTAGACGCAATCGTCAGGCCTGACGATTGCATATAGCATGAAACAGACTGTCGCCTCTAAGTGTTGACTTATGTTCACTTTTATATATATATAGATATATTTATTAAATAAGGTGAATTTAGGCAGTAACAATTAAGTTGGTAGAGAACATACAATAGACTTCATTTTTGAAACTGTAACCAACTACATTCTTTCCTTCCTAGATATATTACATAGAAATAATAATGAACTCAATTTTGATGTTTACAGAAAGGCTACAAACAAAATTGATCTGATTAGTTTCTACTCAATTCTCTGTTCTAAAATTAAATCTGGAATTATAAGAGGTTTCTATCTGAGAGCATTAAGAATCTGTAGTCCCCAATATTTATTTAAAGAAGAAACATACATAAAAAACACATTCAAAAATCTACAATACCCATATCATTTCATCCAAAACGCAAGAAGAAAGGCATACAAAATATACAACTGAAACAAAAATAACATAATCCACAATAATAAATTACATGAAAACAGATGCATAATACTAACGACCAACTCTGTCACGTCCACTATCCAGAACAACCTATCCCATTTAAATCTTAAAATAAGCAAACACTTCCAAAACCATTATGGATATAATCAGATCCTGAAACACTAATAACAATAACATTTCTGAAGCCAGCATTTATAAAATAAATTACCAAAAATGTTCCTCCAAATATATTGAGAAACAAGTAGAAATCTAAAAAAATACATCTATGAGCACAAAAGAGACCTCACAAAAAAACAACTAATGCTCTAGTCATACATACAAATAAATTCAACCACAATTTTGATTTTAAAAATGCTACACTCATAAAAATAAGAAAATAACTCACTCAGAAGGAAAATCCTCGAGTGTGCTGCCATTGAATATTATCCAAATATTAATTTACGCCCAGGCTTTTTCCCCCCCATATCACATTTCCTAACAGAATTACTAGTCTCCCAAGCAAACATGAACAACTGAATTAAGAAATCAAAAGAAAATGGTTGAATCCGTCAACACAACAATAAAAACAATATTTCCACACGTGACAGGACTTGATTTAATTTTCAGTTGACAATATGAATACAATAACATTTTCTAAATTCTTCTAGTTGCTTAGGACATTTTGTTTGTTGTTAATAGCTACTTTGTTTTAATAAATTCATTTCATTTTTGCCTTGAAAAAGTTCACATTGGACAAAACATGTTAGTTAAAAATACAGTTTTCCTATTGTCTTTTTACTTTATAAATATTGTCTTTTTCTACTACAGGTTAACTGAGCAATTTTTCATTTAAGTCAATACTCAGAGATGACAGGCTGTTTCCTGATAGATGCAATCATCAGGCCATGGCGATTGCATCTAACATGAAACAGCCTGTCATCTGAGTATTGACTTAAATGTTCACTTTTATATTTGCATATGCTCTATCTGATATTGAGCACTTTATCCCATAAATATAGCACACCTTAAAACTATATATATATATATAAGTGGTGGCATCCTACAGGTTCACATGAACTCATTCTTAAAATTATAAAAGCTTAGTGAACCAGTTGTTTGATTATCCAAAAATAATTTTATATATAATAGCTAAAAGTATAATTAATACCATTATTGTAAGTTCTGTGGAGCCTGAAAGCGTTTTTCCTGTGATGAACATAATTTATTCTGACAAAAGAAATTCATCTTAAAAAATAAAACTGTGGCAAATCTTCTAGTAATAAATCTGATAGATCTTCCACTGGATTTCTGGGACTATAGAGATTCAGTCTGAATATGGCTCAGAAACCATGACACAATTGATGACACTCCAGTCAAAAAGCATCATACTTCTGAACAGAAATATGAGAACAAAATTTCAATCTAGAAATATCTTAATAAATAAATATTTTTTATTAAGTTATCAAGACAGTTTAATCCTTTTTGATACTATAAAGTGAAATGTTTCCATTCAGAATAGGTTCTTAAGAATTACCCACCCTTACAGAACCAGCTCCTGGAAATTTAGGATGCCATTTTATATATATATATATATAGTTAAATATAACTGACAATGAATATCTATTATGTCTGATCATGAGCCATTCTAATGTTCATATGTTTGCTTTAATTTCAGGTGAAAATAAAGACAAAAATTGTCCAACATTTGCATATTTATTTATTTATTGAGTTGGTCCTAAGCTTTCGGCTCACATGAGCCATCTTCAGAATGATTATACAGACAGCAGACAAAGATATCCTGTGTCAAAGATTTTGTGTGTGTGTGTGTGTGTGTGTGTGCACATATCTAACATTAACTGCTTATCTAAAGAGATGGATGGGGGAAAGAATGTGGAACGGTAGATTAATACAACGAAATCCAAGAAACAAAAAGAGAAAGAGGAGACAAAAAGAAAAACAGACAGTCTTGCATTTTTATTACTTCTATTTAAAGTACACAAAGCCTTATATATATTTTGTAGAGACTTATATAGGAACATCAACAGATATTACAGCAGTGATATACATAAATTCATTGTACATGAATTGCCCTGAAGATTCAAATGGAAAGAGAAATCATGCTTTTACCCATTTTTTGATTTAATGTATTAAAATGAATATATATATATATATATATATATTTTCAAAATATTTCCCCACAGAAACTTGCCAAAAAGGTCCCCCCCCTCACACCTGCAAAAGCCAAAAGAAAATTTCAAACTTACTTTGGAAGGCAAGGGACATTGGTCAAGTAGAAGGGTAATGACTGCAGCCCCAAGGGGGTCCTCCAATGGAATGGACTGGATGAGAGAGGTGACCACTACCAGCCACCCCTTTTCCCCTTCAGCAATCTTAGGGATGTACAACATTGACTGAGGGGGCTCTTGATCACTGCAAAAAAAACAAAAAAAAACAGAAACATTAAAGCAATTATTTTAGATTTTGTTTTAAGAACTCAGAATCAGATTCAACATTAGATTGCTGGAAATGAGAAAACCTTGTGGAAAACAAAGTTTTAGATGTACAAAGTGCGATAGGTAAATTGTCGCCGTTTTATATTTTTTTCATTTTGCACATGTGCATTGTTAACTTTCTCCACTGCACAGTATAGTAAGGTCAGTTGGACACTGTCTATGAGAAAAAGAGCACCATGATGAAAATTCACTCCACCAGAAATTTGTAAATGGCATGCTGGAATGCTTGACATTGATGCTGAAAGCTCCAATACAAACGTATGTGTGTGTGTAAGAAAAAAGACAATAGGAAAACTGTATGTTGTTTTAGCTAACATGTTTCATCCAATGTGGGCTTTTTCAAAGCAAAAAACAAAATGAATGTGTTGTTTGATTGGGATCCTAATGTGGCTGAGCAGTTAGGCATATCAGATCCATTGACAGTTCCTTTATAGGGAATGCAGGTTCGAATCCTGCCAGAGGACACATTTCTGACAAGATTTCTCAAATATTCATGCTGATAGATGTAGTTGGATAATAAATACTGTTTAATATAATAAAAAAAAAAAAAAAAAAAAAAAAGAGTTTCTACTAGAACCTGAGTATCCATTAAAAATGTTTAAACAAAAATTAAAAATAACACACGCATATATATATATATATATATATATATGAAATGGACAAAGTCCGACAATTATTTTAAGACATTTTATGTTTATACATTCTTTTTATAGATACAAATATTTAAGTAAATGCTCTGTTTTATAATAAACAGTATTTGTAACATTTACTGGCCTGAATGTCCGAGAAATTTTCATAGAAAATATTCATCCTCTGACAGGAATTGAACCTATATCCTATACGGAACCGTCATATAGCCTGACGTGCTTTAACCTATTGAGCCACAGAGGATCGTTCAATTAGCAAGGTCGATTTTACTGCTTTTACACTACATCGTCTAAGAATCTTTCATGTACATTCATATCTGCTCAAAGCGTATCCAAATGTAAACAGGATAGGATGTATAGGATACAGGTTCGATTCCTGTTATTAAGTTATTAGAAATTGTATATCCTCCAAGTAAACATCTATCCATTAATCAACTGAGACCCCTCCACTCGTCTTCTATCAGCATGGCTGATGCTAACCCCAAAAAAAGTGACTCATTGTATCTTCTCAGGCTAACATTCTTAGCTGATATAAAGTGGAAAGACTATTGAATCCAGGTTAGCTGCTAAGTTGGTTTACTATGTTGTGGTGGACAATTTTTTTCTCCAGAATCTGTCTTACATATCCATAAGTCTACCGTTTGTCCATACTTAAAATACTGCTACCGCATATGGTCCAGTGCCACCTGCTATTTACCTTGAGCTCCTTGATAAAATCCAAAGAAGAATTAGCAATATTATTGGCCCTGATCTGGCAGCTCAGCTTCAATCACTTTCCCACCACTGTAAGATTGCTTCTCTGTGCCTTTTATAGAAATACTTTCATGGTAATTGTTCAGATGATCTCTTCACTATGATACCTAGACTTTGTGAATTTAAGCGCAGTATTAGACTGGTGTCGAGATCTCATCAATATACAATTGAGCTGACTAGATGTAGCTGTGAGTTCTATGCTAACAGTTTTTCTTGCACTTCTCACTTGTGGAACTCCCTACTGGCTTCATGCTTTCCAGCCAACTTTAATCTTCAAAAATTTAAATCCACTGTCAATCGTTACCTACTGTCATCCCAATTACTCTTTTCTCTTTCCACTCATTAGTAATGTTTCTGTTCCTAATACTTCCACACCCTGTAACCCCTTATGTTTCAGTGGCTTTACTACCTTGCATGAAGTGATACCAATTTAAAAAAAAAAAAAAAAAAGTAACAAACTTTAGAATTGTGCTGAGCATATTTTTTTTTAAATATTTGTGTGCATTTTGTGTGTAAAATTACATTGACACATAAGATATAAATGAAAGACAATGTGTGAAGTAGTCAGAGTCCATGCAGGCCACACGATAGCATGAGTAGTAGGCAGATGTAACTGTGAAAGTTGAAGTCATTAAGAAATCTTCCTGTGTCTAGTTTATTCAAAGTCATATGAAAACCATTTTCATTAGAAGAAATTGAAAACAAAAGGATTTTTTTTTTTTGTAAATCACAACTATTTCTAGAATAAAACTTTTGGATTTACACATTATCTGCTCTCTTTTTTTCACAGGAGTTGAATTAATTTATTTTATTTTGACAAAGCCAAAATGTTCACCACCTCAACCTTTGCCAAGATTATAACCCTTGCTAATAATTAAATAATCATTTAAACTAATATCAAGAACAATAGACAGAAGAGATAAGTTAAAAGGTTTTGTTTTTATACAGCATAAAAAATCAGTGTAATATTAGGAATCATGACTATTTTATCTTAAGAGGGTGGGGGAGTTTTAAGTTCAAAGGTTACAAACAAGAACAAAAAAAGAAACAGGAATCACTCTGAACTATTTAATTGGACATTTTAGCAACTGTGTCAGAGGGCACAATTCGAGTTATTTGACATTAAGACTCTTTTTCGGCATGCTTATTGTCTACAGAGACATTTGAGGCAAAATGCTTGCAGGTTAGCTGAAGTGACAGAGAAGCGGACTGAATGTCAAAAGGTCAGATATTTATAAGCAAAACAGAAGTTAGAAACAAAGCCAACAACATTACATTAAAGCTCATCTCTGTATGGGAGCAAAATATAGCAAAGAAAAGTTTCATATGAGATTGTTTTTTTCTTCCCAAGGAAAAAGCTGAAAGAGACAATACATGTTTTTCTAAATTTTTGATAAGAAAAAGCCATGAGAATTTATTATTTTTAAATGATGGAAATTCTGTCACTGCTAATGAATTAATTTGAAGGTCATTCAAATCAATTTTTGAGATAACAACAACAAAAAAAAAAAAAAAAAAAAAAAAAAAAAGAAACTTGTTACAAAACTGTTTGATACTAAACAGATTTATACAATTTGGCCATCTACTCATGACAGTGCAATATGTTTCATTTAATAGACTGCTTTTTACGTCAGATGTGCAGGCATTGTAACAGTGACTTAGAAAATGGTGAACCAAATTTGAATTCCAGTTGACTTTATTACTTTCCCTTTTGCACAAATGCTTTTGGGAAAGGTATGGTTCCATCTTTTCTCTCTCCCCCAAGCTATAGCAGACCACCTCTTCAGCCTTAGTTGGCAATATATCTAGGAATGGTAAATGCATAAAATAAAGAATCCCTAGTAGTAGAAGCAGCCTGGGTAACTCATCAATGTGTGAGGTCAGAAATAAATTTTAAAAAAAGTAAAAAACCACCCAATGACTAAAATTCTTTAGTCACGTAAGTTGCACAATCTGCTCCAAGTTTTTTGTTCTTTTCTCCCCCAAACAAGGTGATAATGCCACTAAGACACAAGGGGTTACTGAGAACGAGAAAGATTTGTTTAGTTTATTTTACAGCATATCAACTTCAGTGGATTATATAATGCCGACAAGATTTTTAGGTTAAGTTCGTATGAATAGAATATGTATTCTTTGTAAGAAATCAGTTTATATTATTTTTTCAATAATGTATTATTGGTTATATATATATATATATATATATATATATATATATATATATATATGTGTGTGTGTGTGTGTGTGTGTAGGTAGCTAATGATAGTTTTTATATGCATAGTAAATCTAGACTAGGATAGGAAATAACAGCTAATTTTTGTTTTCAAAAATACCAGTATTGATCACACCACTTTATCTTTTCTTATATGCATAATAACATTTGCATCGACAAAAACACACACATATGTATAACGACATGCACACTTCAGGGAACAAGCATTAACTCATAAAATCCAACAGTCGATACCACTTTGCAACAAGTAGCCATGACATCCAAACATTAATGCCTATAGACACTTAGTCAATAGAATAGCTAATACAAAGTGCTAAACTATTTGCAGCTATTGTTACAAATGGACACTTTACGCAACTGCACTTGAATAATCTTGTACGTAATCAAAAGCACCACCACCACAACAATTCTGCTAAAGATTGAACATTTCATCAAAGCCTCTTATGTTAGGCACTACCAATTATGTTAGGCACTACCAATGCTGCCTCAGCCAAGCTTGGCATGTAGCAGCGATTACTTTGGCAATACAAGTCAGACTGATTGCTGAACATATCAAGCACTAAGCAGCTAAAACTGTTGAATGCATCGGCTAGAACTGTCTTCACACATTTCCAATATTATGATTCTCTTGTGGAATTAGTAAAATATTGATGAATGTATTACACACTGGTTTGTAGTAACCTCATATACAATGATTCCAAAGAATATTATCCTAAAGGTTATTATCAATAATTTTGACTTTTACATTCCTCTCCTGTAGAATTTTCATTCATTTCAGCACTCATCTGCCAACTTCACTGCTTTCAGTGGGTGTGTGTGTGTGTGTGTGCTTAAAATAGAATATAAAATCCTTTTAAGAAATCTGACAAATGGAAAAGGTTTCATTGAAACTAGATTTGATTACATGTTTCACCTCTCTAGGCTTCATCAAATGAAAGAAGTGTGTGTGTGTATGCCTATTCATAGTACTTTTTCCCTAAGCTGGCATTTCTCATGTTTAAAGAACAAAGAAAATGAGTGACTTTTAAAAAGCCATTAATATTTATTCCGTATTGATTTTTTTAATTCTTAATATCGAAAGTTGTTAATATATTTTTCCAAGCTTTTTGTGATCAAATTAAAAAGGTAAAACCTCGTCTCATTTTCAGAATGGCTCAAAAGCAAGAAATTCATAAAACCTTTTCGGAAATTAAGCTAAGTTTTCCATTTGTCAAATTTCTTAAAAAATTTGCCGGGAATCTATATCCTTTATTGGTGCCACAGAG